GGGTTCGTGCCCTGGTCCGCGAGGATCCCACATGCCGCGGAGCGGCTGGGCCCGTGAGCCATGGCCGCTGAGCCTGCGCGTCCGGAGCCTGTGCTCCGCAACGGGAGAGGCCACAACAGTGAGAGGCCCACGTATCGCAAAAAAAAAAAAAAAAAAAAAGATATCCAGTAATATGAATTACGACTGATTTTATGCTGTTAAAAATAAGAAGGGTCAACAAAAATTAAAATAAAAAGAAATAAAAATTTAACAAAAACATAAAACACACACAAAAAACCCCAAAAACAAACAAACAAAAAAATAAGGGTCATTATCATAATGTGTAATGTACATAAAGTTTAATTCACTGTACTATTCCATTATCTTACCAGATCCTCTGATGTTCTCAATGGTGTGGTGTCAGGTGGCTGCCTCTTAGATAATCTCCAGATGTACTGTGATGTGAGCTTGAAAAAGAGTTCCTGAAGTACCACATCTGGGAGACACGCTACCAGCTGAGCTTCCCAAAAGTCTACTAAGAGCTGAGGAATCGTATCTTCATCTTTACCACAAAGCACCTTGAGAACAGTGAAACAAGCCCCCATAGCTCAGATAAATATAGTACTGATCAAGTTACAGCTGGTCTGAACAGCACTCCATCATGTGGGCCATGTATTCAATAATTTATCTCTAGCATTAGTGCCGTGGCAAAAGCGAATTTAGACATTTTAACAGACTCCAGGTTGCATGAACAGAATTTTTCTAGATACATTTTTTTAATCTGTACTTTTATAAGTGGTTATGTGTAAGTCTCATTTTTCAATAAACAAATGAAAACTCACTTCTCTTATTCTGCTCCCCGTCCCCCCACCAACTTCATCAGGCCATCCAGAACAATTGCATTTTCAAAGTGACAAACCTTAAAGAAGGAATCTGCTTCTTCAATTCCAATTTTGTTGTTCTTCTGTAAGCCAAGGACTGAAGCCACAAGCAATCCAGGCTGAGTCTCCTTCAACTGAACTGCAAATTCAGTTGGAACAATCTGTCCTTTCCTCTGTTGAATCAACAGCCGAGGTTCCAGAATGAAGCCACATACCAACTTCATCTTCAGATAAAAAAAAATTTAGGAACAGGATAAACATTGCGTTCATCTTGGAAATACACGCTAGTGAATTCAAGAATCAGTGATAAGCCATTAATAACTTATTGTAATCTTAATTTTTTCTTTACAAAGACAAGTTCTAAGGACATCATTGGTAACTGTCTTTGTAGAAGTTATTATTACTTAATTAAGCATCAAGATGTCCTATTTTGTAGACAGCTTTAAATTGAGGTCTATATAGGATGTTTCAAAATTATGAAAAGAAAATTCATCTTTCTAGAATTCTACTCTTCAAAGTAGAGGACATCTCAGTGCTAACCTGAGACATAATAAGTGCTCAATTCATGTCACTTCTTAATTTCTTTCTCTACTGATTAACTTTTTTGGCTTAATATCCCTAAATGGCCTCTTTTCCAAAGGGAAGCTACCTTTTCTTGGATACCCCATTCAAATGCCTAATCTCCCACACAGTCATTTGTGATCTTCCCAGATGCAGGCTATTTCTGCAACTACTGGATTCCTAAGACTCAAGGTTAATAACCTACTTGCTGTACTTGATTATACATCACTGTTCTGTTTTCAGGGACAAACCACATCACCCCCTCGTGCCAGGTCAGACTGTCAGCTCAGGGCAGAGCCTGTATACTCTTCACTGCCAAGCACTGTGTTCTGAACATACCTGAAACTACGTTGAAAAGTCTTTGGATACCCATTGCTGCCATTTATCTTTCATTTTTTCTTTTTCATTTGCCAAATCCAAAGCCCAAGCACTCCCACTTTGGGCCACTTCCTTTTTAAGACTAAGTCTATCTTCCTTTACAACTAAGAAAAAAATGAGCTACACAGAAGCCAGAAGAAAACTAAACACCTCAGGACCACTGAGTCCTATTTTAGCTTGCTGTTAATACCAGGAAGGGCACCATACCTCTGAATGGCTTTTCATTTCATTTCTGTGCATGTCAAGATCTCTCATTTTCAAAGCCACTGCTGCCTTGGTCAATGTCACTAAGACTGATGAAAATCCAGAAGTATCCAGCTTCCTTAAATAGCTTATGGCAGTTAAAGGATCAATATTCTTCATAGAAGGACTACAGAGAATATGGGGCAGTTGCTTCGGCTCAGCGACATAAAACATCTGAACCACTTTTGCTGCCAATTCCTTTGGTGAGCGTAAACAAGAAATAAAAGGTCAGTCAGCTGATAGAAAGCAACAAAATCAGCAAAAAAAAAAAAAAAAAGGATAAAAAGCCAAGATACAAACATTCCAATTAAGATAAAATTACAGTACTATGCTTCGATTTAAAAAGAGAGTTGATGGTGATAGCGTGGGAGAGCTGAGATGACCTAAAGTGATCTCTTTGCTGAGTTATAATGAAGAAAAAGCAGGGAAAGTGTATACTAAGTTGTGTCCAGCATTTCTAATTTTAACAAGAGTTCAGAAGAAGAAAACAAATATTGGATTAAATTATACTCAAAAGTCCATTATAGAAAATTACTGCTTAATACAAAATTTACTTATATTTAATGTACAAAATATACTTAACATTTATAAGAGAAAATTTCATTTCTCTTAAAACCTTAAAACACTTGGTATCACAATACCCAACTTTGCATACTGGCATTCAACTCTTTAAAAATACATGAGGAGCTAAAAATGATCCTTAATAATGTCTGAAGGTTGCTGGGCCAGGATTTCACAAGGGAAACTTTGGACACCTGGAGAGTGGGGCAACTAGGGTTGTGAAAAGGGCTGCAGATGAGAAGGCGGCAGGCAAAGCCCAGGTTCTATGTCATTCTTCTAAAGACATGCCACTGTCACATTGGGCAGGTCACTCAACCACAGTGGACCACACCCCCCTGTCTATGTAATGAGAAAGTATGAGAAGATGATTATAAGTTCTCTTCCAAGCTGTAATTCTGAGTATTATTAATGAAGAAAAGGGCACACTAATTACCTTTTTTAGAAAAAAAAGACTATAATACCAATGAAAAATACTTGGAACTTGATTTCTCAACAGAATTACATAAAATAAATTGCTAAAATGAAAAATTAAAAATATTAGATATAACTAAATAGAAAACTTATTCACTTCACTTAATTCTTCATCCAGGTTTTCATAAAGTGAATGATTAACGTAAAAGATTAATCCCCTCTCGTATTTCTGCGCTCCATCCTCTAATGCCCAGTCCACTCGGGCCAAAACTTCAGCCATAGACAAACCAGACATCTTATAGTATGGCAAGGCGAGGTGGGAATACTGGGTGTCAAGCCTAAAGGGAAGGAAGTAAAAAAAAAAAAAAAAAAAAAAAAAAAAACTTCAGATTTGTCATGTTTAAGTTTGGATGTCTAACACATTTAATAATAAAACAGACATGATTTCCAGAAGACATAAATCTCAAAATACTTTTCTACGGCCATTAGGAGTTGGAACATACTCCTGAGTTTTGTTCTGCAAAGTCATTCTAATTAATGTAGCTTCTTTTTGCTTGCTCATAAGAAAAACAAAAACAATTCATTAAGTGAATTTTAATATTCATAATGTGGCTCTAAAATAAGGTGTTTATAAGTAGGAAAAGTCTTTTATCAATTTATAATGACTCCCGTGGGTCAAGTAAGCCTTGGAAACAATTATATATGAAAAAAAATTATAAAGATCATTCTCATCTGGACAATGGCTACAGGATTTGTTCATTTTGTGAAAATTATTGTGACTTGTACACTTATTACTTGTGTACTCTTCTACGTGTATAACTCCATTAAAAAGTTTTTTTTAAGTTTCCTCAAAAAGCTGAAATATTGAGTAATGGTTACCATTAAATCTATTAACATAAAAAAAAAAGATCATTCTCAAAAAGAGAAATCACTATTGATCCTAGTGTCCTTTTCTGACATCATAAAAGCACTGACTACTAAGGTTAAAATCACAGAGTGTCCAACTAGTATCTCTCCCTTACAGCTCATAGTAATATGGTTGTCTCAGGGATGTTCACTGGTCCTGCCCCACCCCCGCCCAAAGGTCTGAAAAGAAACTTCAAATTCCTAAATTAACTGATGGGAGACTCATGAACTGCTCATCCAATAAACTGTAAGTCCTTGAAGGCAGGCAACAGGTCGTGCTCATCTCTCTAAGCTTAGCCCAGTACCTGACCCACAGGATGTGCTAAACAAATGCTGTGGCATAAATGAATAACTAAACCACCTCCCCTCATGCGTCCTCCCATTTGTCAGGTAACTGCCAGAGCTGGAAAAGTTAGTAAGCACACCTGAAGCTCAGGATGGCTTCTCTGACAAGTTTCCAAGTAGCATCACCAACCTGCTGTAGCAGTCTCCAAGGTGCCCACAGCTTTCTTTAAATGCTTCTAAAAGCTCGGCTTTTTCTCCAGGTTCCAGCTGACTGGCATCCATCAGGGCAGCTCTCACTAACAGGTGAGCCTCGCTGAGAAGGTGGATGCAGCTCTGCGTTTTTGCAGTCTTGTAGGCGTTACTGTAGTCTACCTAACACAAAAAAGGCAAGCAGCTAATGTTGCTTTAGACATCTCCCCAAAGTTTCCCAGTTCTTAAGAATATCTACCCAGTTGGTTACTAAAATCAATATCTGAACACATTAAATCCTAAAAAATAAAAAGTGGTTATTTGTCATTCTGATAAGGCCTAGCTAAAGTGGTTTTCTTTTCCCCCACGATCTATGAGCCAGTTTAACACACACGATTGTAACTATTCTCTTGTTAAACAGTGCTAATCATTAGAGAAGGTACAATTAATACTGTAACACTAATAATACTGTTAACTTAGCAATAATTTGACCACAATTTGATAAGGCTAATGAACATATCCGAAAACCTTAACTTTATTTTTAAGTTCTAGGATTTAAATCTTTCTCAAATTCAGATTGAGTATGCTTCCTTTATCTTAGTTTCAATCTGTGAATTTCGGTTCTGCTACATCTATTTCTGTAACTTACAGTGGGCTTATAAAAATTATCACTAGCTAGGAATTCCCTGGTGGTGTAGTGGTTAAGAATCTGCCTGCCAAGGCAGAGGACGTGGGTTTGATCCCTGGTCTGGGAAGATCCCAAGTACCTTGGAGCAACTAAGCCCGTGGGCCACAGCTACTGAGCCTGTGCTCTACAGCCTGCGAGCCACAACTACTGAGCCCATGTGCCGCAACTACTGAAGCCTGCGCACTCTAGGGCCCGTGTGCTGCAACTACTGAGCCCACGTACAGCAATTACAGAAGCCCAAGCGCCTAGAGCTCATGCTCCGCGACAAGAGAAGCCACTGCAATGAGAAGTCTGTGCACCACAAAGAAGAATAGCCCCTGCTCACCACAACTAGAGAAAGCCTGCGCACAGCAATGAAGACCCAATGCGGCTAAAAATAAATAAAATTAAAAAAAAGATTATCACTGGCTAATCTGAGTCAATCAGTATTTTTAGACTCCAGTAGGCAAATCACCTAGATGACGTCTAAGACTTTCAATTAAGCAAGACTGAAAACAGAACAAAGCTGATAAAATTATCAGCATTAAAATGCCAGGGCAAAATCAGGCAAAACCTTCACCCGATGACCAAAATTAACATTACTAGTGAAGGGGAAATGAATATTCTGCACCTCCCGGTGTGATACTCTGAGAAAGATACGTCACCTACACAATGTTCTGGCCAAGAAGAAGAATATACAACCTGAATCTAATCATGAGAAATGATATGAAATGAGAAATGAAATGAAATGAAAAAATAAATTTTTATAAGGTGGCAGGGGGAGAAATATTTTTCAAAACTGTTATAAAACAAAGAGTGGAATCTAAAAATACAACAAGCTAGTGAATAAAACAAAAAGACACAGACTCACAGATACAGAAAACAAACTAGTGGTTACCAGTGAAGATAAGAGAGGGAGATTAAGAGGTACAAACTACTACGTATAAAATAAATAAGCTACAAGGATATATTGTACAACACAGGGAATATAGCCAATATTTTTTAATAACTACAAATGGATTATAACCTTTCAAAACTGTGAATCACTATGTTTATACCTGTAACTTATAATATTGTACGTCAACTATACTTCAACAAAAGAAAACAAAAAAAAAATTTTTAAATAAAACAAAGAAAGGCTGTGAACATATTCTGGATTAAAGGAGCTAAAGAGACGTGACAGTTAAATACATTACTTGATGGATCCTGGACCTGGGGCAGTAGGTGCTGGGGGCTTCTACTAGGCCATTATTGAGTCAATTGACAAAACTGGAATATGAACCATAGACTAAAGTATTGTGTCATTGTTAAATTTTCTGAAGCATGTGTGTGTCCTGTGGTTATATAAGCAAATATCTCAATCCTTAGGAAACATGCACTGAAATATTTAGGAGCCTTAGGCTATGACGTTTGCAATATACCTTCCAATGGATCAGGAGAAAATATACATGCGTGCTTGCGCATTTGTACAAGAGTGCAAAAAAGAAGAAAAGAGAGGGAGAAACAAAGGGAGTATAATGTTGGCTATGGGCAAATCTGTGTGGGGAATACACAGGTTTTACTTGTACTATTCTTATTCTTGCAACTTTTCTGTAGGTTTGAAATTATTTCAAAATAAAGAGTTTATAAAAATTGTCAGGGATGAGTAGGCAGTTGTCACTCTTAGAAGAGGAAGAAGGATGCCTATGGGACAATGCTACAAGTGCTGCAGTGCCCTGGGACTATCTGTTAATATTTCAAAGAAGTGTGAGACAGGGACATATGATCTAAGATTTCTTTCGGCTCCATTTCATGGTTCTCTTTGCTAGGGTTCAAAATAAAGGTCAAAGGCTACTTATGTTTAGACTGGAAAATCAATTATCATAGGAGAGTGGGTATGAACAAGGGAATCTTATTTTAGTGAAGGGAATTTCTCCTGGCTCCTCAAATATCAGGAGCTGTGAAAACAAGAAGGTGAAGATAATACACTGCACTGTCAGACAGAGCCTGGAAGCTGGCTGGCTGTGGCATTCTGCATGTACGATAATTAGAATCAATTTCTAGTCATCAATTAGACTCTAAAAATTTCTACCAGTAAGAATTACAAGTCTGAAAGGAATACCATTTCTTTGTACAGTTGCACTGGTGAGATCGTATTCACAATATACAAATTCCACCCAGCCTCAGCTACAGGAGGTGTTTTGAGATTAACACTGGTACCTTTTCTAGAACTAAAAGCAAAACAAAGGACAAGAATTATAAGACATATTATTAATAAACGGGAATTTTAAATGGTAAATATTAGATACCTAAAATATTGTAATTATGATATCATTTTCATTTAGTATTTTCTTTGTTGATTACCTACACAGTCGATTTTTAGAGAACATTAGTGCACAATGCTACATAGGCCAAACAGCATTTAACATACTGCACTCTCACGGACTGATAAACCAAGCATTTGCAATTCATTCCACAAGTATTGTTAAATAGGCAATAAGTTCACAGAACAGGCAAGAGTCCTCAAAAGGAAGAAAGCCTTGGATATGGCCTTCATGAGGCCAGGGCTGCTGGGAAAATGCAAAAGACAGAACTGAACATCTGCTGGAGGCACTACCTTATCTCTTGCTTTCACTATATGATGCATTTTCTGTGGTATGCAATCTTTTAAAAATGCAGACCCTAGACCAAATGAATTTTCAAATAAATTAGAATTTTAAAAAAATCATTTAAAAATATATAATACTTTTAAGATGTCAAATGTGTGAGATTACAAGCTATTTTTCCTCTCGCCAGAAAGCTTTTAGGATCAGTCAGTCTCAGACCACTTTGTGCACACTCTAAGTGAGCAGTTACCCAAGGGAACCTGGTTATTCCTGCTGGTGGAACAAAGCACAGGCACAAATAATTCAGAAAAGCTTAAACTTATGTTAAAAATGGAAAACAATGTTAGACTTGAAATACAATCTGTGTTCCTCCCCTGCAAACAGATTTCTTTCCTACTTAATTTTCCATAGAGGACTGTTCAAATTAGATTGCATTCCCTACCACTAAGTTCACAGTATAGAAAACATCGAATGGAAGCATTAACTACTCTGGAATTAAGCATTCTATTCCAAACAATGTGAAAGCAAAAAACCGAAGTGTCAACCTGAGATTAGAATAATGCACTTTTACTCTAAGGTAGATTAACACATAATCTATACATCATGAATGTGCTTTAAGGTAAGAAATGCATTGTTAATTTCTTTTTCATTGAAATACCAGAAAATAATCTTTGGATAAAAATGTAGCCACTTAAAGACCAAAGAAGAAAAATAATAAAGAGCCTTGTCACTTGGATCAGCATAAGAGGCTCTGTCTTACTTGTTAATTACACAAAAAAGGCATGCCCTTTAGCTTCTTATCTAAAACACCACAGATATTTACTGAACTAATTTTATACTTCATCTTCTTCTAAAAGTTCAAGGTCAATTATAAAGGATATTATAGAGAGCATCAGAAACTTCTTTTCTTACTCTGGAAAAAAAGAACACCTAGAAAAGCTATCTGATCATTCAAAGCTTTCATTTAAAAAAATATCAACAAAGATGTATGCAAAATATAGCAGTAACAATTCATTCCAGAAACTTTCGCAGGAATGTCTGGGGGTGAGGGGATGCTTACAGAAGCCTCTTGGGTGACTCTCTTCTCTCTGGAATTGTTTCAGGGTCTGCCTTGGTCAGAAGTATAATGTGGTTTTTAAAGTGACAGATGGCTTTCAAGCCTATGAAAAGCTGTATTCTTAAAGCACAGACATCCATACTGACAGGTGGGCAAGCCTAATAAGGAAAAAAAAATCGGAAATTTAGCTAAGGAATAAAGTGCATGAATTTTAATCTTCAAATATCAATGTATTTGATACAATGTCTCCTTCCCCCTCACTCTCCCCCCAAATAATTCAAATACCTGTTCTTATCAGAGTAAGAGGTTATCCTATCTAAACTATTTAACCAACTAGCTCATCCATGTGTCTGCCAAAGAGCTACTTAGTATCTGTTGACTTTGATTTAAGGAATGCAGAGGGCGGGTACACCTGAGGCCCCTCAAAGCTGCGGGAACTCTCTGCCTTACAGAGACCCTCCAGGAGCCCAGCCCTGGGCTGATTACCTGCCACCCAGGAAATTCCCCACTAACAGTGGGCTGGCTCAGGGTACGTTCAAGTGGCCTCTTTAGACAAAACGAGACGCTATAAAAGGACATTGTACTTCAGGTAGAGTACATAAAATGGTTTCTTAGTGGTTGCGTGTGTACGAAAGAAACACTCTCATGTTCCGATGGCTTCTGTTAGCTCTGTAGATGTGAACACTGCCTGGAACAGCCAACAGGCTGGGGTGTGTCAGGCAAACTGGAGGAAATCCTGGACCAGGAGCCAGCCTCCTGTCCTTATAAGGGACCATTCACTCAAGTAGAATGGATACGGAAGATAATGGAAGAGCTCTTTCTGCGACTCACAAAATGGTGCTGCCAGGCCTCCCCCTCTCCTCCATTAATGCTGTTTTGATTCTGAGGTCATCTTCATTGTCCCTTTTGTACAAAGCACATGGGGGAAACCCTCCATCTATTTTTTACATTCCTAAGAATAGTCAAGTTGGCCTTGGTGATGCTGAGCCAGAATCTCAGAGGAAAGGGAAATGAAGATCGCGTGTACTTTGGTCCCGACTCTGAGGTTGTGAAACCTTTCTCAGACACCGCAGCTCCCAAAGCCTGAGTCAGCAAGGGAGCAAAATGATGGTGTGCTCATTCAGGGGCATCTAGGATTTCAGAATGGTGGAATCGCAGGGAAGGGGGAGCCTGGAGGTGAGATCACCGTCCTTCCCTCTGCCACCTTCAGGAGGACTGGCCTCAGGGGTAGCGTTCCCCACCAGCTGCCCATCTCTCCTCTTTTCTACCTTCCTTTCTTCTGTGTTCCTTCCCTCTGGTTTTATGAGACTCTGAGAAGGCCTAGAACTGATATTTATTTCCAAATGCAGATTGATCCTACCTCAATCTGTTATGTACCCCTCACTCCACCATCACTATCTACACAAGCCTATGTCTCTCCGAGGCTTAAAACAAAAAACAAGGGGCTTCCCTGGTGGCGCAGTGGTTGAGAGTCCGCCTGCCGATGCAGGGGACACGGGTTCGTGCCCCGGTCTGGGAGGATCCCACATGCCGCGGAGCGGCTGGGCCCGTGAGCCATGGCCGCTGAGCCTGTGCGTCCGGAGCCTGTGCTCCGCGACGGGAGAGGCCACAACAGTGAGTGGCCCGCGTACGGCAAAAAAAAAACAAACAAAAAAAACCTCCTGAAAAGGCTATGTGTATATCTTAAACACAGACAGAAAGGCATGGGAAAGCTATGATGCTTATTTCCCAAGAGGCTGAGGGTAGGCGGTAAGCCTGGTCAGCAGCAGAAAGTGATAGGCAGCCCATAGCAAAAGAGAACTCAGGCACAATTTCCAGAAAACGCCAGTGCATTTCACGATTTGGGTGACAGTGATAATGGAAGAGTGCCTCGGACACATTAAGTACTACACACCATCATCACTGAACATTCATTTTTCCAGAAAAAGGCGTTCCAGGTGCCAGATGGACATTAACATGTGAAATCGAGGCCATGATAACTTGGGGGTTCCCTACAGCACGGATATGCACAACAAACACCCATTCAAACAGCTTATGCTCTGGAGGTAAAACTGCACATGAGGAATACGATGCAAATGATCAGTGTCTTTCTGAGAACAGAAATTCAAGGTCAGAAAACAGAGAATTTCATCATAAAACTGCCTCTGTTTATCTGGCGGTCAAGAGCTTTTCAGAGACTAAGCGTATTACTACTCACTAAAAACGAGGTTATTGATCTAGAATATCCATTTACACTAGATCAAAACTACAGAACTACAGGAAAGTGGCTGAAGGCTTTGTAAAACGATTAAAGAATTAAAGGCATATCTGATAACAGTATAAATAAATCATCTGAATGCACTGTATTCACTTTTGTGCTCTTGAATATACTGATTTCTGTACTGTTTTGTTAACAGCTCTATACAATTGCCACCAATACTTCTATTAAATGAATAAAATTGTAGTATACCATAGCTGTGAAGTGCTCTCTCTGAAGTTACACTATATATATATTCTTTACCAAATTTTTAAAACTATGCATTATATCTAAATTCTGAGTAAAATGCTTTCAAAGTAATCTTAAAAATTACCATCTAAACCACAAATCACAAAATGCTTATCATTTTACATTCCAACATTCTAATTGAAAAAAACAAGACTTTTATGTTTGCCAAGCTTAGACACGAAGAGCAAATTTGCAAGCACTCATACTGTGATCTTTAGGTTGCACCGTCATAAGCCAGCTCTAACCTTCAGGGTGGTGTCCACATACGGGTCCTCCTCCCGAGCGGCTGCCGCACTGCACCGCACTGTGTAACACTGCAGGTTGTTACTGAGGAAGAGGAGAGATGCCACTGAACAAACTGGAGGCCAGGAACCAATGTGCCCACTGTTGGGAGGATTTCACAGGAGCACAGAGCAATGGCAGGGGTGGGGGAAGACCCAAGTATCTGTCAAATGCTGACAAGTTAGGCTACTTCTTAACAAGGAGAGTACCTCAGAAACCCTATGGAGTGTTTTTTAAAATACATGACTGGTCCCCACCTCACTCCTACCCAAATCATAATCTCTAGGGGCTGAATCTAGACACGTATATTTCTACAAAGCTCCTCATGTGACGTACACTCCTAGTTAAGAACCATGGATCTGGGTCAATACCCTCATCTTATAGACAAAATGATGCCCCTGGGATCTGCCCAAAGTACAGAGAGGTGACTATTAAAGCCAAGGTTAGAACCCAAGTTTACTGATTATTATCTCGGGATGAAATGGAGCCTGGATTATGCTGGGCAACACACTTAGATTATGCAAACCCAATCCATTGGTAGAGAAAATCAGAGACTGTCTGAAGGAACCTTCAGAATTACCTAGTCCAGCAGCTTGTTTTTAAAGATTAGGGCCTGCAAGGTACATGACTGGTCCAAGTCCTCTCTGGAGAATGGAGTTAAATTAGACCCCAGGTCTCCTCACTCTTCACACTCCTCTAGCTCTTTCCACAACCCCAGGTTATGTCTGCACAGCAAAGCAACCTGGAGACCCCACAGTAAGTGCTTGGAGACTTACAAGTCAACCCTCCAACACTGACATTGAAAACCATCAATGGTTAACTTAGAAATTGCTACGAAACCCATCTTGTCGTGGGTTCCCAGGAATGATTTTTAAAAACAAATCAGAGGGCTTCCCGGGTGGCACAGTGGTTAAGAATCCGTCTGTCAATGCAGGGGACACGGGTTCGAGCCCTGGTCCAGGAAGATCCCACATGCAACTAAGCCCGTGCACCACAACTACTGAGCCTACGAGCCACAACTACTGAAGCCCATGCGCCTAGAGCCTATGCACCGCAACAAGAGAAGCCACGGCAATCAGAAGCCCGTGCACTGCAATGAAGAATAGCCCCTGCTCGCCACAACTAGAGAAAGCCCGTGCGCAGCAACAAAGACCCAGCGTAGCCAAAATAAATAAATAAATAAAAATTTTTTAAAAATCGGAAAGTGAGAGAAGCAAAAATGAACTCTATTGAAATAAAGAAATGAAGGACTAAAGCAAATCTAACAATAAGCTTAAAATAGAAGAAATACTTCTTTAACAAGAGAATCATTCTGACATTTTCACAGCTGCGAGACTTGGCACGATGTAGAGGCATCAGTCAGGACTCTCCATCTGTTTGCTGGGGCTTTCACTTTGGTCTCAGCCCACTGTCAACTGTGTCCATGTCCAGACAGCTCTAGGATGTGACCTCTGGAGTCATGACAATAGCTGGGACGGTAGCACCACCGCTTAGAAATCTGGGGTAGAGGGTGCCCTCACGAAGGAAACTAAACAGAAGGGACTTTGAGATACTGGGAACCAAAAGAAGTACCTGCAGTGGGGCCAGGATGACAGGTCAGAGTAGCTATGACCACAAAGATGACCTTTAGGTTCTAGAGAGAAAAAGGCTGCATCCTCCGACTCACCTCCAGCAACATTAATCCAGCTATTAGCTATCGCTGGAATACCAAGCAGCAGTATAAGAGAAGAACAAAGTGAACTGAAGTGCGCTGGCCTGGAAAGACGTCCAGGATACGCTGCTAAGCAGACGAGCAAGTTGCTCAAAAGTGGACATCATACGATCCACTTCTGTAAAAAACAAACCATAGTTGTTTATGTATTCTTATAAAAAAAAAAGTTGGATGAATAGACCAAGTGTTGACAAGGTTGACTCTGAGAAGGCGGATTATGGGAGGCCTTCCGATTCATGTATGTCTACAAGGATGACATTTTATCACATGATTTTATACTGTTCTTAGAGTCTTTTAAAAAATATTTTATTGCTTTTTTTTGAGGGTATATAAACACATCGCTATTCAAGAAACTTTTCAAGACAAACTTATGGATCAAGATACTTCTAAAATACGTATCTATCGGGTAAAATAAAAAATATGTAAAAATTAGTTCAACAATATAGGATTTTAAATATAGGGGTGGGGAATCTTTATTAAGAATCTGAATTTACATATAACAACCGCTATTCTAATGTCTAATGCTTCCATAGTCAGGTTAATGATGTCAAAGTATCTTTTGGTGCTAATATTAAGAAAAGCTTCAATAATTTCCCACCTGGAAGCAGGCAAAACCCACAGATTTTAAGTCTCTTCAAGCCCTCACTATACTATGTTTTCGGGACTCTACATTCCAAACTAGTTCACGACATACTTTGGGTGGAGGGGCATTTAGAGGGTCCACTCACTAAATTCTCAGTGTCCTGTACATTTATACAATCAGATGGATAAACGATAGTCTGTTGTATAAATATTTGGGGGCAGAAATAAATATTTTCTTCCTTCTTTCTCCCTCTAATTTTTCCTTGGTTTCTGAGAAGCTATAGTTTTCTGGATTCTTCGGCATCTTTACAGACCCTTCTCTTTTTCCCCTCGCTTTCTAAACATGACTTTTACCAGTTTAGTTCTCCAACTACTTTTCTCTGTCTACACATTCTTGGGGTCATGATCACTACTTTGATAATGAGCTCGTTTTTGTTGGTAATAAAAATATCTAACCTTTCCTCTTTTCCCTAATCTTCAGTCCTATGTGTCCAAAAACCTATCAACATTTCCTCTTGGTATTCCCTAAGCACCTCAAACTCCAATGTCTAAACCAAACTTTTCTTTCACCCCATGCCATAGCAGCCTCCATTCTTTCATAAAAGCAGGCTCAAAACTGATGGGTTTTCTCATGTCTTCTCCATTCCCAGTATCCCACTAGACATCAAGTCTTGTAATTCTCTCCCATCCATGCTTCCTTCTCTTCTCACTGCTACTGCCCTGCCCAAATGCAACCCCTCATTATCCTTACTGAACCATCCCAATAGCTCATTATCTATGTTCAAACCATCCTCCACAGTGGCCACCACTCATTTTCCTAAAGCAATGCTCTATTCACATCCCTTTCTTTGGTCAAAATCTCAAAATATTCCTTAATTTCCAAAGCCCTGAGCTCTCTCTCAAGCACTGTTTTCCCCATTGCTCTATGTTTCAGCTCCTTTACATTTAAAGGACATAACTACACAACACTTTGGAAATTAAAAAGACTAGCTACCTCCACATTGTTCGTTTAAGGAACACACAATAGCATTTCTCCTTACACCAGGGAGTGAGAAGACAGGGGAGTACCCTCGCTAGGAGTGGGTGTCAGAATCTCCAGGTGGGTCCTGTGCTGTGCGAAATACACTCCAGCACCTGCTGGAGATTCTGATATTCCCACTCAGTTGAAAACAAAACAAAACAAAAATCACTGTCCTATGCAATTAATTATTGGACACTCCTGCAAACCTGGACATAGCTTTGTTTATAGGTTTCCCTCTATCTAGAATGTCTTTCTCTTCCAATCTCTATCTGTCAAATTCTAACTAGCTTCCGGGCTTCACTTCAAACGCAGAAACCTTACCTGTGTGACTCAGCCAGAAGTAATTTCCCTCCTCCCACGGCCTACGCCCCTTTCACAAAGTCTTAAGACATTTTTCACTAATCTCCTAGTGTTTACGTCCCTGGTCTCTGGCCCTCTTTTATGTTGTTGCTTCAGAAAGCAGATGGTGTGCCTTATTCACAGGTCGTTGGCCAGAGGGCTTAATGCAGTGCCTTGACTATAATCTAAACTGAAAAAACAGGAAATAAAACCATAAGCATCACTTACTGCTGAGAAAAAAGGAAATGACATTAAAGCCCTGCTCAGGAACCCAGTTTACATGCCAGATTACTAGGGTAAGGCAACTGAGAAGACATCCACCACCAGTTAGCCACATGACCGTGACCACCCCCAACCTCTGGATCCTTTCCCCATCTACACTACTCAGAGGGTAGAATCAGGTAGTCTTTCTGGCCTCTTGACAGTCCTACACCATTATCAATTAGCTCAACTCATACGGAAAAGATAGGACAGCAGTGAAAAAAAATTAGGAAATCTAAAACAAAGTCTAAAAAGATGCCCTGACTGGCCCCACTGACTTTTCATTAGAATTCCCTATGAAAATCTTCCCTCATGAAGAACTTTGTACTTGCTTAGAAAGATCCCCATCCAGTCTAAGAAAATAAAACAAAGGCAAAACCGGAATCTACATCTCTGACATTGAAAAGGCAGGTATGGGCCATTAAAAAAAGAACAAAAAACCCACAGATGTATATCATTGATTTACAGTGCCATACAACGGTGCACATAATTCTCATTTAAGGATTTAGAAAGCACCTTAAGAATTTACAGAGAAATAAGTGACTCAAAAGCCAGCAAGTGACTGAAACATACCTTGTGATGACATGCAAAAATTGTGGTGTGAGCACCGCCTGCTGAGACTTCTCAGGATACTGGTAGACTGACATTAATTCAACAGATTTGACAACCATGTACAGATAGCCCACATGAGGTAATGAGAAAAAACAAAAGAGGCTCAGCAACTCTTTCTCCTGAGATGAATGTTTTCTCTCAGAAGTAAGAGACCCTGCATGAAAAAACAAACAAAAAAACAAACCAACCATGAAACCAGTAAATAAAGGGAACCAATATTTTGACTTTTCTATGCAAAAAAGTCTATAAATGGAGAACCAAAGAGTTGCTTAGGGGAAGTTGCTCTTTATATAAGAATGCCAGTAAAAAAAGAAAAAGGAGGGCTTCCCTGGTGGCGCAGTGGTTGAGAGTCCGCCTGCCGATGCAGGGGACACGGGTTTGTGCCCCGGTCCGGGAAGATCCCACATGCCACGGAGCGGCTGGGCCCGTAGCCACGGCCGCTGGGCCGCGCGTCTGGAGCCTGTGCTCCGCAACGGGAGAGGCCGCAACAGTGAGAGGCCCGCGTGCCGCAAAAAAAAAAAAGAAAGAAAAAGGAGTGATATAATATCACCACTTGAAACCACTAATAAATTAACAGATCTAGGTGATCACCATCAATGGTTGTCAACCATTGATTAACCAATGGTTGTTAACAAAAAGAGCCAACCTAATACTATGTACCTTCCAAGAGAACTCAACACTACTTGTGTTACCAAAAAAGTCATGATCATCACCATCACCTGATCAAGCCTGTCTAGAACAGCACCGTCAATAGAACTATAATGTGAGTTACATATGTAATTTGAAGTTTTCTAGTAATCACTTTTTAAAAAATAAAAAGCAGGCCAAATTTTAAAAATATATTGCATTAATCCAACACATCCAAAATATTATCATTCTAATAAGCAATCAATAAAAAATTGAGATATTTTACATTTTTTGTTGTACTAAGTCTTTAAGACCTAGTGTTAATTTTACATTTACAGCATATCTTAATTTAGACTAGTCACATTTCAAAGTGCTCAATTGCAACATGTGACTAACGGCTACCGTACTGAACAATGCAGTTTTAGATCAGAGGGAAATACAGGGATACAGGAACATGTTAAATGACACTGTGGGGAGTCAATCAGCAAAATCCAGATTGTGGGAAATTCTGCAGTAATAGTGCAGTTTCTTGCTAACTAAATTGCAAAGAAAAAAGAAAGAGGGGGGAAGGCAGAGCCTACATATTAAAAGAGACGTAGAAGACATCAGAACCAATTGCAACGTATGAACCTTACTTGAAATCTGATTCAAACAAGTAAATTGCAGAAAAAATTGTTTTAGACAATCAGGGAAATTTGAACAACTGACGGGTATTTGATGATATCAAGCCATTTTTTAAAAATGTGAAATTACATTTGGGGTTTGTTTAAATAAAAGAATCCTTTTCTTTTAGAAACACATGCTGAAATATTTAGAGATGAAAAGGTATAAACTCTTAGATCTGCATAAAAATAATCTGGCATGGGGTGGGGGGTGGTTATGAGGCAACACTGTTGAAGTTGTGTGATGGGTACATAGGGGTCACTGTACTATTTTCTCTACATCTGTGTGCTTGAAATTTTTCATAATCAAAATGTTTTAAAAAAAACATATAGCTCTGATTGATACCCTTCAAGGACACCCATCAATAACAGAAGAAAGTTCAATTATGGCACTTCCACAACTGGCCCAAAGCAACTGATCCAGTTTCTACTTCCTCTTCTTTCCTATACACATCTGTGCTCTAGTTAGACAGAGCTGCTTGCTAGTCTCCAAACACACATGATGGTTTTACACCTTGCCTGTGTTGGTTCCCTTTATGTAATACCTTACCAAAATGTCCAACTTCTAAAAATTTTACTCATCCATCAGGGCCCAGCTCATACGTGTACTACCCATCCCCTCATTTGTCCACTAAGTAAACACCCATCAGACACCTCAGACACCTACTACGTGCCACTGTTCCAGGTTCTGGGTATACCACAGTGCACAAGACAAAGTAACTGCATTCATTCTAGTGAGGGGGAGTGGGGTGGAGAATAAACAAACTCTGCGGTATGTGGAGAGGGAACAGTTTAAATAGAGAAGTCAGAGAAGTTCTCTGTGGCGAGGTGATACTTGAGCTGTGAATTGAAGAACTGGAAGACACCAAGCAACACAAGCTCTGAGGAAGGTTCCTTCTGAGCACTGGAAGAGTAAATAACAGTCTTAGATAAGAGTGTGCTCGGTGTATCTGAGGAAGAGAGAAAAGTCACATGGATGGAGAATTGTAAGAGGGTGAGTGGGACAAGAAGAGCTCCGAGTCAGGGTCATGGAGGCCATGATAAGGATTTGGGCTTTTGTTCCAGGTGCTGGGGGAAAACCCTGGATAAAGAGCTAACCCTCTAAGGTGGCTGTGTGCCCTCTGGTCTCCTGCCTCATGTTACACCTCCCTCTCCCTTGCTTCTCTCAGTTCCGCAAGCAAAGATTCTCCCTCGGCCACAAGGCCTTCACTGCTTCCTCTGTACCAATCCTATCCCCAAATCGGCCCCTATTCATTCTGCAGATCCTCTTTCTCAGGAAGCCTTCCCTGACCCCAGGAGGAGGTCAGGATCTTTTGTTATACACTCTCGAGACAGGGTTCCTCTCTCACAGAGCGCTCAGGTCAGAGTGTAATTGTGTACTCTTTCTTATGATCATTCCATTCATGTCTGCCTCTCCCCCCGCGAGACAACAGGCTCCCTGAGTACAAGTACTTTGCCTACTTTTGCTCATTATTGGTTCCCTAGTATTCAGCACAATACCCGACGTAGTAGGTACTCAGTAAATGTTTGCTAAAAGAAAGAAAAAAATAATGAAGGTTATAAACCCATTTAATCAGAAAAATATTCATATCTTTCCCTAGGCAACTCCTAAAGATATTAAGCAGGCCAGGACTAAGTACAAAACTTAATAGTGATTCTTAATCTCGGTTGCCCATCATATTGCTGGGGAGGTTTTAAAAAATACTGATGCCCAGGCTGCATAGCTGACCAATTAAGTCAGAATCTCCAACACGTAAAGACTGGGCAACAGTATCTTGAAAAGCATCCAAGTAAGGGCAATGTGCAGTAAGGTTGAAAACCACCGCTCTAAATGGATTTCCATTCAGTCCACATTCTCCCACCTGGCTCACAAGGCCATCATAAGCAGCTCTGGCAAATGACCCAGCTGGACCCAGATGAACCTTAGCTATAACAGGGCTTCCATTTCCCTTTTGGGACCTAGAGACCATTTCAAACAGGGAAATGGGTTCTGTTAGTCACATCCTCTCCATGGCTTCTCCTAGCAGTCACGACTTCCCTTTCTAGCACTCACTGTTATTTGCTAAGGAATCTGCCCAAGGCCACAGGGAGCCTCAGTAGAAGAACCTAATCTATTTCTCACACTGGTCTCCCCTCCCGTCTGAGGGCCTTTTCACCTCATTGCACTGCAGCACTGTCATACTTACCTGTTTGGTAAATGGGCAGCAGCTGAAGTGAATGCAACTTAATGTCATCCGACAAGACACAGGATGAAATATCAGGAGCAAAACGTCTGTGAGTTTAAAGAGAGAGAGAGGGGGGAGAGATCTAATTTCCATGTACTTTAAGTAGGTAAATATATATTAAATGCTGGTGAATAAAAAGCTTTCTAGTACCTATAGAGCAGGTGCTGAACGTGGAAATATTTTATTTTTTCATCAGCTAATCCTGTTGACTCCAGTGTAACAGCTATTCCAGACTGTTTGCTTTTTTCACCAAGAAGTTCCATGGGCTTTTGACAGATAACAAAATCATCTGACTCAAGCTGCAAAGTCTCATTACTGATGTCTTCAAAAATAAAATTGAAGAAAATTATTTAATAACTCCAAGTACCCCTCCAATGCAAATTAGATTGCACAATATCCCCCCACCAATTAAACAGACATAGGAATAATTTATGCACACACATCTCACGTATTTATAAAGCACTATGATTTTGAAAAGTCTCAGCACTTGCTCATTTATCCCTCACAACTGATAAAGTACAATGGGCTATTATCATCATCCCCATTTTACACACGAGGAAATTGAAACTCAGAGATGGTATTCCTAACCCGAGGTCAATTCAGCTAGTAAATATGAGGACTGGGTCCAGAAACTCCTCATCCAGCAGCAGCTGTTTCATTATTTCTCATGACAAACATATGTTGAAATACATTTACATGCTACAGAATAAGATATGGGCAGCCAGATGATAAATCCAAATCCCATGTATTAGGAACAACTACATCATAAATAATGTGGCTTGCAATATACATAGTAGAGCCTTTCAGAGATTGCCAGAAATAAGGGTTTTCTCTGCACCCAACACAAGAAAGTAAGCTAAATTCATTATTTACCTTCTGACAGTTTCACTGGATTGCTGGTCTTACGTGGATGGTGGTTAACACTCTCTCCATTTTTGGGGTCTGACTCCAGTTTTAGGATTAAAACCTCTAAGTCTGACATGACAGCGACATATCCAATACAAAAAGAAATTTCAACAGGGGTGATATTATCTATATGGATAATTAAAGAACGTTCAAAGTCCAATATTGAGAATTCTTCATTAATGATCTGATACTTCAAACTAAATAAAACTAACTTATTTGTGCAGCCAACAAGAAGGTCTCCTTTCACAGGGCAACAGGAAAGGCACAGGGGGGCCTCAGAAAGCGGCATTTCCACAATAGACATCTGGTCTCTGAAGGTTTCACTGAAGGGTGCCTCCACGTCATGTCCGACCATTCGGATACATACTCGGGAGTTTTCAGTCCTTTTACTTCTCCAGTTCACATAAGCACGCAGAAACGTAGCTTTGTTTTTCTCTTCAATTGCTACCAAATAGTCTCCTGAGAAAGAAATAAGATTATACTTAGAATTTGTAATTAGAAACCACCACTTTCCTTGCACCATGAAAAGGAACTATAACTGAATCTAATGTGGATGTTTGAATTAAAGATTGACTAGAACGAAACTCTAAGTAACAGGATCTTAGGTGTATTTTAAACTAATAGACATTTAGGTTCTGAAATACAACTTCCCCCCATTTTAATGTCTTAAGATAAGCCATTAATTATTCATGAAGCTTACAGAGAAATTCTACGATTTATTCCTATGACAGCTCTAAGTGTTATTGTAGCTCTGAATCTACAGCTCTAACAAAGTTCTCCTGACATAAAGAGTTTGGTATTAGTGTGATGTTAAAATTAGGTATAAATTCAGGAACTCTGAAGAGGTTAGCAGAACTTATACTACAACCCTTCCCCTTCCCACAAAAGTCGTATCTTTATGTCAACTCTGAGAAACAGGATAAAGCCATACATATTAAATAAAATTTCAATCCAAGTTAATTTTCCCTTAGTTGTTGATTTTCTTGGATTATTTTAAATTACAAAGTAATTTTGGAATTACTCTTTGTTGTGAGAAGTCAAAGTGATAAAGAGGTGCAAAATGAAAAGTATAATGATCTCTCCCCGGCAGTCCGATCCATGAGGAGACAATGTTGACACACACAGCCTAAACCCGTGTCCTTCTAAACCTTTCTTTCATATAAACTTAGATCATAGAGTGGTAGTTTGTCATTTTTGTTTTTGTTTTTACCAAAATGGAATCACACTAAATATATTTAACAATCTGCAACTTTAAAAAATTACCAATGTATTACCAAAAGATTACCAAATATCTTTCCCTCCAGGTTAGATACATGGATATCTAACATCCTTTTCAACATATGCAAAATATCCTGTATGTACATGTGCCATAATTTATTCAACAATTCCCCTACTGAGCTACTACATTCAAGTATTTCCAGGGTTTTTTTGCTACTATATACTGTAATAAATAGGCCTATACCTATATATTTATTTAGTGGGGGGTAAGTTTCAACAGCATAGATTCTCAAAAGTAAGACTATCAGGTCAAAGGGCAGGTACATTTTTAATTTTAACACATATTGCCGGATTACAATCACAATTATGTAATAGAGGTTCATGCTGTCACCAGAGCTGTTTAAACAGTCCTATTTCCCCACATCTTCACTAGAACTGATTCCATGTGATGGGGGAAACATGGACTCTAATGGTTATTAAAATTTATATTTTCCAGACCACTTATAAAGCTGGCCATCTTATCCTATGTTTATTCGGCCATGTATAATTTCTCTTCTGCAAGTTATCTACTATTTTATTAGGTTGATTTTTCTTATCAAGGAAGAACAGCTCTCTGGGTAAAAGTGATAATTAATCCTTCATTGGCCATGAAGAGCAAATCATTTTTGGTAGTCTATAGTTTGACTTTTGACTTTGCTATGGTTTGACTTTGTATGGCATCTTTTACAATATGTAACCAGCTATGTATCTTTTCCTTCTTGGCTTTTGTGTTTCCTAACTTGCTTAAACAGTCTCTTATGTCCTCCAATTACATAAACACACACTTACATATTCTATTTTAGTGGTTTTTTTAATTTAATTTAATTTTTTTTTTTTTTTTTGGCTGCATTGGGTCTTTGTTGCTGCGTGAGGGCTTTCTCTGGTTGCAGCGAGCGGGGGCTACTCTTCATGGCGGTGCACAGGCTTCTCACTGCGGTAGCTTCTCTTGTTGCAGAGCACAGGCTCTAGGCGTGCAAGCTTCAGTAGTTGTGGCATGCAGGCTCAGTAGTTGTGGCTCACAGGCTCTAGAGCGCAGGCTCAGTAGCTGTGGCACATGGGCTTGGTTGCTCCACATCATGTGGGATCTTCCTGGACCAGGGATCGAACCCGTGTCCCCTGCATTGGAGGGCGGATTCTTAACCCTGCGCCACCAGGGAAGTCCTCATTTAAATTTTTAATCTTTAGAACTTTGTGGGTCAGAGGGTATAAGTCAGTGTTATTCTGAAAAGAGAACTTACTATATGCTAAACATTATTAGGTAAACAAGCCCTTTTCCAATGAATTGAAACTGAAATGCTGCTGTTAGCACACGAACTTCCCATATACAGATGCAGCAAGCAAGCGGGGGCAGCCCCTTTCTGCAGACACCAAGTGGGCTGGCCAAGCCCCTCCTCCTCCAGAATGAACCAGCCTTCAACAGAAGCAAACCTTCTCCTGTGCTGGTTCCTTTGATGCCACAGAGGTGGAGCCTGTACCTGTTCTCTCCCCAGAGATCTTGGTGGAATGCCTAAATATACCCTGCAGGCCCCATACATTTGCTCACTCTGTTCCAGAGAAGCAGTCTGATGGAGTTGGGGGCAAAAGATGCCTTGTGGCTTCCATCTTCCTTGAATTCCCTCAGCAAATACATTAAACAAAAATTTTTATTGTGGTAAAACATACGTAAAACTTACCATTTTCACCATTTTTAAGTGTACAGCTCAATGACATTAAGTACATTCACACTGTTATACAGCCATTACCACCACCTCCAAAACTTTTTCATCTTCCTCAAAACTCTGAATCCATTAAACAATAACTCCCCATTCCTACCCTCTGTACATGGTTTTTATTACTTACATAATACAGTATAGCACCAATGCTGAACAGCATGATTATGTGCAATACATAAATATGAACTATTTGTACACATCTGCAGATCTAACTCAGAACTAAGGTACATAAAATTGAAAGCAAAACTAAGTGCATTAATAATAAAAGTGAGGGGCTTCCCTGGTGGCGCAGTGGTTGAGAGTCCGCCTGCCGATGCAGGGGACACGGGTTCGTGCCCCAATCCGGGAAGATCCCACATGCCGCGGAGCGGCTGGGCCTGTGAGCCATGGCCGCTGAGCCTGTGCGCCCGGAGCCTGTGCTCCACAACAGGAGAGGCCACAACAGTGACAGGCCCGCGTACCGCAAAAATAAATAAATAAATAAAAAATAAAAGTGAGGGGGTGGAGTCAAGATGGCGGACTAGGAGGACGAGGAATTTGCATCTCTGCGTGACAAAGGCACCTACCAGGCACTGGTGGGGGATCACGGACACCTAAGGGGACAGGAGGAACCACCAGCAACCGGGTCCTGAGCCTAGGCACCGCCCCATGCTAAAATGTCACGCCCCCACTGGCCTAGGTCCCACCCCACCCTAAACCCCACCCTTGCCTAAATTCCACCCCTGCCTAAACTCTGCCCCCACAGCCAAGACTTTTTTTTTCTTCTTTCCTCTTTTACATTGGGGTTCTGTTTTACCTTGCTGATTCATTATTGTTGATTCATTTATATTTTTATTTTTCCTAATAAATCTTTTATTTTTCTAATTTTATTTTATTCTTTATACTTTGTTATTGATCTCTCCTTTTGGCTTGTTTCCCCCCCCCGCCCCGGCCTTTTTTCCTTTTCTCTGTTGCAGTTTTATTTTACCTTGTTGCAGTTGTATCAATTATATTTTTATTTTTCCTAATCTATTTTTTATCTTTCTAATTTTTTTTTTATTCTTTGATATTGTACTGATCTTTTTTTTCTTTTCTTTTCCTTTTTTTTTTTTTTTTTTGCCACAACACAAAGCTTGTGGGATTTGGTTCCCAGACCTGAGGTTGGGCCCAAGCTCCTGTGGTGGGAGCTCTGAGTCTGAAACGCTGGGCTAAAAGAAAACCTCAGACCCCAGGGAATATCAACCAGAGTGAGGCCTCCCAGAGGTCCTAATATCAGCACCAAGACCCGGCTCTGTCCAACTCCCTGCAAACTCCAGTGCTGGACGCCTCAGGCCACACTACCAGTAAGACAGGAATACAGCCCCACCCATCCAAAAAAAAAAAAAATGAAATGACAAAAAAATACGTTACAGACGAAAGAGCAAGGTAAAAACCTATAAGACCAAATAAATGAAGATGAAATAGGCAACCTACCTGAAAAAGAATTCACAGTAGTGATAGTAAAGATGATCCAAAATCTCAAAAGCAAGAATGGAGAGAACAGAAGAAACATTTAACAAGGATCTAGAAGAACTAAAGAGCAAATAAACAGTGATGAACAACACAATAACTGAAATTAAAAATACTCTAAAAGGAATCAATAGCAGAATAACTGAGGCAGAAGAATGGATAAGTGAGCTGGAAGATAAAATAGTGGAAATAACTGACAGGGAGCAGAATAAAGAAAAAATAATGAAAAGAATTGAGGAGAGTCTCAGAGACCTCTAGGACAACATTAAACACAGCAACATTCAATTACAGGGGTCCCAGAAGAGGAAGAGAAAAAGTAAGGGACTGAGAAAATATTTGAAGAGCTTATAGTTGAAAACTTCCCTAACATGGGAAAGGAAGTAGTCAATCAAGTCCAGGAAGCACAGAGAGTCCCATACAGGATAAACCCAAAGAGAAACACGCCGAGACACATATTAATCAAAGTATCAAAAATTAAATACAAAGAAAAAATATTAAAAGCAGCAAGGAAAAAACAACAAGTAACATACAAGGGAATCCCCATAAGGTTAACAGCTGATCTTTCAGCAGAAACTCTGCAAGCCAGAGGGAATGGCAGGATATACTTAAAGTGATGAAAGGAAAAAAACCTACAACCAAGATTACTCTACCCAGCAAGGATCTCATTCAGATTCCATGGGGAAATTAAAACCTCTACAGACAAGCAAAAGCTAAGAGAATTCAGTGCCACCAAACCAGCTTCACAACAAATGCTAAAGGAACTTCACTAGGCAGGAAACACAAGAGAAGGAAAAGACCTACAAAAACAAATCCAAAATAATTAAGAAAGTGGTAATAGGAACAAACGTATCAATAATTACCTTAAATGCAAATGGATTAAATGCTCCAACCAAAAGACATAGACGGCTGAATGGATACAAAAACAAGACCCATATATATGCTGTCTGCAAGAGACGCACTTCAGACCTAGGGACACATACAGACTGAAAGTGAGGGGATGGA